AAAAATATAACTATATACATAAAATAATATCATGTCCCAACTTTGTGGATGCTCTCTGGATTACATAATATATTTCAAATCACCTAATTGTATGCCAGGCTAAAAACAAAGTTTTCAAATGACGCTTAAATGTGTTAATATCAGTTATTGCGCGCAATTCAAWTGGAAGGTCATTCCAAAGTGCAGGCGCAGCTGCAACAAACGCTCTATCCCCTAAGGTGGCCCGTGTGCGAAAACTAGGATAAGCTAGCAATATTCCTGTAGATGAACGCAGATTGTAGTTGCCTTGACTCTTGATTGAAATCAATTCTTTTRGGTACGGTGGCGCGAGACCATGAATGGCCTTAAATGCGAATAGCAGTATCTTAAAGTGTATACGGTACCTAACTGGTAGCCAATGCAGCTCGCGCATCAGAGGCGAGATATGACAAAACCGCGGGGCGCAGCATACCAACCTTGCCGCAGTATTCAAAACTCGTTGCAATTTATGCAAATRCTTTGCARGTAAACCATATAAYAAACTGTTACAGTAATCAACGCGTGATGTTACAAWTGCATGCACCAAAGCTTTTGTGTCCTCTGGACTTAAAAACKTACGTATGCGGTTGATATTATGCAGATGGTAGAAAGCCGCACCAGAAACTTTACTGATATGAGTATTCATGTTGAAAGTGCTATCAAACCAGGCCCCTAAATTCCTTACTWCTGGTTTTGCTTCGATATATGAGTTACCAACTAGTATACTATCAATATCTACCTTAGCTAGTTGTTGYMTAGTACCTAGTAAAAGAAATTYAGTCTTATCGTCGTTTAACATCAGACGATCTCTAATCATCCAGTTCTTTAAGTCTGTGATGCATGCACGCATCACACATCACTTTCAGTTTCATTCAAATTGTTCTCCCTGTGCGTGACTTCCGTATCGGGAGCTCCGCTTTTAGGCAGTGCCTAAATATATATATTATCCTAATTTTGTATTCAATCTTTCTCTGTTTTCATTGCTTCTAACAATCCCATCCTTATATTTTCTATGCAATTATATACTTACTGAATTACTTTGTCATTGCCATTATCAAAAATTACCTTTCAAATGGCTAGAGTCTAACTAGAAAACTCCCCAGTTTATTTAGGCTCAAGCATAATTTATTTGTATTGTAAAATAGTAATAATTATCTCGTGATATGTAAATGTAATAATAGTTCATTTTTGTAAATATAATTAATTGTAATAATYGTGCAAAAAATAAAATTGAATTGAAATTGAATTGCAGCCATGTTAGATGAACAATACGATTGTGAAATCTAAGATTAAAATGCTACTTTAAACCTAATTTTTACAATAATTGGCGTCGAGCTTTCGACCTATGTCTAGGCCGCCGTCTTTAGAACTATTAAAATGCTGTTCGTTACAAATGAAATAGCAAACAGAAGGGAGTACGTGTGCGAGACTAAAAGACACACAWGCACAACCAAGTAGATAGCTTCTAAGAACAAGGATCAATAAAATGGGCAGACAGTTCAGAGATCAGTTGCCAAGATTGAACCGGCGAGAGGGAATAAGAATGGATAGTCAGAACGCATCTCACGCATAGCTTGTGTACCAGCTATTCATTCTTCGTAAAATTTCGCATTTTCATTCTTACTTCAGGCCCTAAATAAATAATTTCTAGCTGGGTACCACACGGATTTGATTAGTAAACTGACTGTTGTAGGCCTCACTGAAGGACTAAATATTGTAAGAAAGTGTCAGAAATGGGTTATTTCACAGAACTGTGAGATTGTGAAACGTCTGCACAATTGTTAAATGTGTATACATCTTTGTAAAATCAGTCATGCAGATAATTGCTTAGACTATTCATGCCCGCAATATTCTCTATTCATGTAGCAAAAATGTCTGAAGTTGAAATAAACGTATAATAATTCTTGTGTTATAATCATGCTCATTTAGCTTGGTCAACTTGAGATCTGACAACAAGAAATTGTTCTTATGCATTTGAAAATGTGTAAACAACAATGATGCATCCGAACCATTCCACTCCGTTAACTATATTTAGATATCTGCTGGCATGAATGGTTGTGAACTTTATTTATCTATCACTCGGCCATGATGCATGTGCCTTTTGAATTGACTGATATTCTCTGACAGATTTTTTTTTTTTTTTTTTTTTCATGAAACATAGCTTGTTGCTATTTCCTCTTCACGCTCTTTCAATTGTACAACTGGCCTCGCTTCACCACCAGTCCCCGATCACTTATTCGAAATATGAATAAAGTTTAACAATTTTACGCTGAAGTATTTCCATTGTTCAAAAAAATTTACTTTCGTTCCACTTCCCTGCTTTGACGTTTTGGTGACACTGTTTTGGGGTCTAGAACATTCAGTCTTGATCCATTGGTTTGATATTTGTTTAATCCAAGTGCGGTATATGACGACGTCTTATATTATTGAATCAAGCGGCCTCGTCAACAAACAAACTTAGTGCTTATACACGAGATTGTAGTTCTCTTACTTGTACCTACCTGGAAATGCCATCTTTACGAACAGCACCGAACTTGTTTATCTTTGCTTTTCTCTTGTCTTATCCTCTAGGACAAGGTGAGTATACTACCTTAAGATTCGTAAGTAATGTAAATTTCAATTGATGCATAAGAATGCATTATCTTCGTGAAGCTATTAACTCATTTCGTTGAGTAAAAAGCGACTGGCTACATACAGCGACTTAAATTGCAATTAGATTTATCATTACTCATACTGATTTAAAATTGCCTGCTCTCGTGAAATGAAGCTGATAAAATTACGTAAAATATTAACGACGTATGAATAGCAAGCGAGTTAATTCATGAGTATATATAATTACCATATTCTGGACGTAGAATGACTAAATTCAGAACCACTGAAAATACGTAGTTTACATGTTAATACAGTCAGGTTCATAATCCGTTCAAATTAATCGTGTTCGTGCTCATAATTCATCTCCATTTTTCATAATATGCAAATTTAGGCAAAGGTCTAAAAACAGAGCTCCCATGAAGTGCATTCTATTTTGACACCTATTAGATTGATTTAGCTTGCATGAAACTCAAAAATGGTGTTAAAGTAAAAGAGTCTATTTTAAACTGTTTGCAAAGATTTCATCGGAAGCATCTTTCTTTTAGATCAAATTGAGACCTCAAAAGGTTAAAATTTGATCATGATGAGAATTTTAATGTTTTTTGAGTTTTTGCAACATTTTTTCGCGAGTGATACGAATTTATTTTATTCATCTTGTTATTACATAATGCGATAATGGCGAAAAAATACCAATGAGAATCCATAACAGGGTTGAAACGTGTAAATAGTATAACCATGCTCCGGAATATTCAAACATCACAAAGGCATCTTGTGAGCATTATATTTGATGCACTTTAGAGAAAATTAATTCCACTGCTATAAAACTGAAAGTAATCTTTTTGGGCCTAGCGTTACATCACAGATTATTCAGTATTTGGATTAAGATCACTGTGCAAATTTTCATGTTTGTAACCAAAAATTAAACAATTCTGTACCATTTGTGCTCCATATTCGTGCACTATAGGTGTCATTTTGAAAATTTTCGACGAGCATTGCCGCCCTTCGCTGTAAATTGGAATCTCCCCTATGGCCATGTGATGCACAGCATCTATGTCGTAAGATTAGGCTTCCATTTAAAACGTTTGCTTTTGTAACCACATTTTTCATTCAGCATGGCGTGAAACTATCATGCGGTCAGCACAGCGTCTTTCATTATATTCTATCAATCGTATAAGGCACGTATTTCCTGTCTCCTGCAGAATGTTCAGAATGATAAATTTTCAATGAAATTCTTTATTGCTCACAGCAAATGGTAAAACTTTTTTGGGCCTAGGGATACATCAAACATGCTCAGCATTTGGTCTTCCATCACTATACCAAATTTTCATGTTCGTAACCAAAAACTAAACAATTCTGTACCATTTGTGCCATATTCGTGACGTCATTTCCTGTCTCCTGTAGAATGTTCAGAGTGATAAATTTTGACCACCATCGCAAGCATTCCAAAGAGAATTAAATGGAAAAAGAAGGTTAAATGGAAACATAATTCTCATGGATTTAGAACTTATACAAAAAAAGATATCGGTTAGTTAAAAAGAAGTTTAAAATATTGAAAATTACGGTGCCAAGCTTTTAGGGGGGAAAAATAATCTCATGAAATTAAGAATGTTCTGGTTTTATCAGAACACCTTCACTCTACAATATGATACATGCATGCATGCATATACACCTATTTCAAAAAACGTTGTCATCGCCAAAGGCGATAGGCGATAGGTCATTCTGACATGGAAATGGTTTCGTTGAATACAAAGGCATCGAATCAGTTTGAGCACGAACGACCATACTTTTGACGAGAAGAAAAAGAAGAAGCATAAGTCATTCCATCTATATTCTTGTATCTTGGAATGACACATATCTTATCGATTTTTGCCAATCGCCTATTATCTATCGTCTTTGGCGATGATAACGTTTTTTGAAATAGGTGTATGTGTATATTGTGACTGAAGTGTAAATTCTGCATTCTCCTGACTGACGACAGCTATTTAAAAAAAAGGTTGCGAAGGTTTTCGTTGCATGCTGCTTGTTTCTTGTTACTTAGTTAAGGTGGCTCTATAGAGTTAACCGTAATTTCTATTTGATGAGGACGTGTTGCGTGTATATATATATTTTTTATTAATAACTCAAAAACTGCATGGTAAAAATATCATAATTGTAGAGATTTTAATTCTAATCATACATTCCTAACTTTATTGGCAAATCATAAACGAATTCGGTACTGTGGAAAACGTTTTCTTCAGCAAAATCAAAATTTCGCATTATTTTAGATTTTGTAGTACTAAATCTTTTATTTACTTACTTTACTTACATTTTGAATAAATAAATTATATATAGATATATATAGACTTAGATTTTTCAAAGTTTTGAAAAAAATTCATAGCGAAAAACCAATGAATAATTTTTTTAATGAAAAATGACATTCTTCGTGTGTTGCTGTGGTTACGTTATACGTAATCAGTTTCAAAATAAAAAAGTGAAATAAAAATCCTAATCTCATGATCTTAAATAAGGTTGGCCTATCGGGTATCAAAGTGTTAGTCTGTATTAGCAATAAAATACTGTTTATATTAATGTACTATATCCATAAGTAATTAGTGTCAACACAGAACAAATTATACAGGAGAAACTGTTATTCTTGTGACCTTTCTCTGATTGAACTCACACCGCCCATAGTGCATTTCGGGATTGGTATGCAACATGCAACTTACGACAAAATGGTAACCTTCATCAACTTTTTTTCCAAACAGCTGTCTACAGCATATTCCGCATACTTTTTGGTAGAATGTGGAGAACTGGTATTGATAAACGAAAAACGAGGCTAGCTTTTCCTTGTTATTTTTCTATATTTAATAACATCTTATTATTGTCAAATTTTACTTTAGGCTTAATATATTGGTTCGGGCATATAGTTGTATTATGAAAGTAAATACGAAAAGCCATTTTCTGTGCATGATTTATTTGTTCGACAATTCGATCACTCTCGATCCAGTGATGATCATCAGACTGAATTATAATTCAAAGTTCAAGTCATTATTATTAGTTCAGAAGTCCCAACGGGATGCTCTGTCCTTGTCCAATGCCTCTGCCACCTTTCTATTTCTGTAATAGTTGTGTCCTTCGCTACTCTTCGCTACTCTAGCCTACTCTTACGTCATGTTTCACGCTGTTTTAAGATCTAGAACATTCAGTCTTGATCCACCGGCTAATCAGAAAGACCCTGTTTTAAGTGTCAGATAGAGTAATTATATTTAATCATACGGAAACAATGCATGACTATAGGAGCTATTAATATTAACCTGAAAACTATTTCACAGTTTAAATAGAAAGCACTCTTTATGAAGTTTGTAATTAGCAAAAGTTTTGTGAATCGAATCTTTTCAAAAAGTTCTTAAAACGCTGTTGTTACCTCAAAGGGCTATAATTGTAAACGATGAAAATGACCAGAGGGCGAATGGATGTTACTCAGGCGATTAATGTCTTTTGTTCTTTTTGTTGTGACGTTTCATCATGCTGTTTCCTTTGATCATCCTTTTACTCCTCGCACTACATAAACACTCTTCTTTTTCGCCGACGACCGGACTAAGTGTCCGAAACGTTTTTTTTTTAAAGCATCGTTACAAACTTTTTGAGACGGCGTTTAATTCTAAGTTTCCTTCTTATTCACTTGTTGAAAAACGATCGCATAGTTTGATATCTCACTGTTTACCGACCAGGATATGGCGGCTTTAACAACACTAAATTTAATCTTGTTCTTAACTTATTTGGAAGTTAACACATTCCGCGTAAATTAGTAAACAAATGATATATAAAACCAATAGTTAATTTCAGTTATCGAACAAATAATAATGATAATAATAATAATAATAATAATGGGGTTCTTCTATAACGCATTTCACAATGTCTCAAAACGGTTTTAAGTCCTTGTCCGAGAAGACTTGAAGGTCTAACCATTTGCAGATGTAATTACAAAGGCAGCACCTTCTCCTCAGTTATTTTAAGACGCTGAGTGTTGGTCCGGCCGAGGCTTGAACCACGACCTCCCGCACAACAGTTGGCGGTTGGCGAATAAAGGTTTTATCGGGTGAATGTAGGGTTAATTTTAAAATAACTCAAAATAAATGCCTTGTCCTTGTAAGCACACATGAACCAATTATTAATGACAAAATCGAGAGGTATTAAAATTTTTAAAAATATGTTTTTCAATTTTTTCATTTATCAAATGACACTTTTTGGATCAATCTAAGCGAGAGAAGTTTTTCAGACAATATTTGGGAAATTCATGGGTACTTAATCGTAGAGTCAAAAAATTCAGAATCACTCAGAAAACAAAAATTTTTACAGTCATGTTCATTATCCGTTCAAATTAAGTGGTCATCTAAAATAATGCAGTTACGGATGAATGGGGAAATACTTGAGAGAAAATGCTCCGTTTCAGTCGATTTCAAACAAATATCCTAGTTCAAAATTATATATATATAGCAATTATTCGTCGAAGGCGATCTAATAGTCAAGAAAAAATATTTTGACAGTCATTGAATGAAACAAACAATAAAAAAAGCGATTATTCTTTTTTGCATATCATTAARTATAYTGAATAAATTAGATATWTGTATAAATGTATACTACAACGTTTCTGCAATCGAGAGTATATATAAATATATATTAGGAATATAAAACAGCGCGCGTGTCTATATACTGTGATATAAACACGATGGGAGCTGTAGAGCACTCAGAGAAACACGAGGCGTGTTTATATCACAGTATATAGACACAAGCGGACGGTTTATGTAGTGTTTAAAAAACGAGTAGGAGTGTTTTATCAGGTATAAAAGCACAAGGCGTGTATGATGGCTCCAATTGGACCATAGCCTTATGAATTATTAATGAGTGTTTTAAATCGCTTTTATAAAATATTTTTGAATGATTTCGCGCGAGCTAAAGCTCTATCGCCAATTGTCTTTTTAGTTTTAAAAACTGGTGGCTGTAATAAAAGCTCATTGTTAGAGCGTAAACCATATCTAGAGGGCTCTCGGATCTTAATTAATGAAGAAATATCTGGAGCGTTGCCGTGTATAGCTTTAAAAGTAATAACCAGTATCTTAAAGTTAATTCTAAACTTAACTAAACTAAAGTAGGTTTCATATGACAAAAACGAGGAGCACAACAAACAAGCCTAGCTGCTGTGTTTTGTACTCTTTGCACCTTATTTAAATGAGTGGCGGGAAGCCCATAGAGAAGGCAATTGTAATAATCTATTCTACCCATTATCAATGTGTGAACTAAAGTTTCTGCAGATTTTCTAGTAAGATATTTCCTTATGCGCCTTAAATTATGTATATGATAAAACGCAGCGCTGCAAGTTCTAGAAATTTGAGTTGTAAGACACATATTTGTGTCAAACCATGTTCCTAAGTCCTTGACAATGCCTGTTGACGTGATTTTAACATCACCAATATTTAGTTGATTCACGCTGATCTTTTCCAACTGCATTTTAACTCCAATGATTAAGAATTCAGTTTTGCCGTCCTTAGTCTTAGTTTCTCTGAGAGCATCAAGTTGCAAATAGCATTCACACATTGTTCCATGGCAGCAATTGCATCATTCTGATCAGGTACAGAGTTCGATCGAAACGATAAATACCATTGCGTGCCATCAGCGTACACGTGAACATCAGGCAGGTGTCCATGGAGAACATCACACAACTCACTCTTTGTTTCTTTGTTTCTTTGTTTCTTTGTTTCTTTGTTTTTGAAGGTAACAGTCTTTACTAATTTGTTCTTGAATGTTTTTCCTTAAAGTTTCTGCTAAACCGATAATAGGATTCACGTCAAGGTCATCAAATCGATTTGAAAATTCAATTAGTTCGGTTAGCATCAGTCTTGAGAGAACTAATCAAACGAACATAACCACAACACTGACGTAAGTATCTTGCTGTTGTTTGGTTCTTCTTTTCCTCATTTCCTTCTTCCATTGATCCCTCCCTCTTTTCCTTCCTTCCTTCCTTTCTTCCTT